AACAGTGGTTTTAAAGTCCTTGTTTAGATATGCTTTATTTTTCTTTTAAAAAGAACCTCATCAAGGCTTGACCATGATTGTCCTAAAAACATTGCTGTAAACAAAGAAGTGCATCAAGTGAGTTAGTCTGGTCCTGAGTACTGCAGTTTTCATCTCAATTTTAGTTGGTGGACAACTATGCAAAGAAAAGACTAGCTTTTTCTTTTCCTGAGTTGCCTCTGCCCTCCACAGGAAACAAGATGCTCAGTGGCCTCAGAGCTCAGAATCTCTGATGTCTTAAGTGTTCTTACTACTATCCTAACTTAAAGAGAGTCAATGGCAATCTGTTTTCAGAAATTGAGGGGCTAACATATCCAACCTTTCTTGGAAATGTGAAAAGGCAGCCCCAGTTCAAATAAAGGAAACTGGTAACACACAGTGTTCCATTAAAGATAAAAGCATGGAAAGTCTTTTTGATATGTTGGACTTTTAGTAAGAAACACATGAAATAATGAAAGGTTCAGAAGAGAAGTAAGCTAATTTAAATGGTAATTAAGAGGAGTAAGTTTAGCTCAGTCGCTCAGTCGTGTCCAACTCTTTTGCGACCCCATAGACTACAGCACCCCAGGCTTCCCTATCCGTTACCAACTCCCGGAGCCTACTCAAACTCACGTCCATCATGTTGGTGATGCCATCCAACCATCTCAGCCTCTGTCATCCCCTTCTCCTCCTGCCTTCAATCTTTCCCAGCATCAGGGTCTTTTCCAATGAGTCAGTTCTTTGCATCAGGTGGCCAAAGTATTGGAGTTTCAGCTTTAGCATCAGTCTTTCTAATGAATATTCAGGACTGATTTAGGATGGTCTGGTTGGATCTCCTTGCAGTCCAAGAGACTCTCAAGAGTCTTCTCTAAAAAAAAAGAGTCTTCTCCAACACCACAGTTCAAAAGCATCAATTCTTTGGTGCTCAGCTTTCTTTATAGTCCAACTTTCACATCCATACATGACTACAGGAAAAACCATAGCTTTGACTAGATGGATCTTTGCTGGTAAAGTCATGTCTCTGCTTTTTAATATGCTGTCTAGGTTGGTCATAGCTTTTCTTCCAAGGAGCAAGCGTCTTTGAATTTCATGGCTGCAGTCACCATCTCCAGTGATTTTTTTGAGCCCAAGAAAATAAAGTCCGTCACTAAATTTCCATTGTTTCCCCATCTATTTGCCATAAAGTGATGGGACCAGATGCCATGATTTTAGTTTTTTCAGTGTTGCATTTAAGCCAGCTTTATCACTCTCCTCTTTCACTTTCATCAAGAGGCTCTTTCATGTCATCTGAGTATCTGCGGTTATTGATATTTCTCCAGAAAATCTTGATTCCAGCTTGTGCTTCATCTAGCCCGGCATTCCTCATGATGTACTCTGCATATAAGTTAAATAAGCAGGGTGACAATATACAGCCTTGACATACTCTTTTCCCAATTTGGAATCAGTCTGTTGTTCCATGTCCAGTTCTAACTGTTGTTTCTTGACCATATAGATTTCTCATGAGGCAGGTCAGGTGGTCTGGTATTTCCATCTCTTAAAAGAATTTTCCACAGTTTGTTGTGATCCACACAGTCAAAGGCTTTGGCATGGTCAATAAAGCAAAAGTAGATGTTTTTCTGGAACTCTCTTGCTTTTTTGATGATCCAGCGGATGTTGGCAATTTGATCTCTGGTTCCTCTGCCTTTTTGAAACCTAGCTTGAACATCTGGAAGTTCACAGTTCATGCACTGTTGAAGCCTGGCTTGGAGAACTTTCATCATTACTTTACTAGCATGTGAGATGAGTGCAGTTGTGCAGTAGTTTGAATATTATTTGGCATTGCCTTTCTTTGGGATTGGAACGAAAACTGACTTTTTCCAGTCCTGTGCACACTGCTGAGTTTTCCAGATTTGTTGGCATATTGAGTGCAGCACTTTAACAGCATCATCTTTTTGGATTTGAAATAGCTCAGCTGGAATTCCATCACCTCCACTAGCTTTGTTAGTAGTGATGCTTCCTAAGGCCCACTTGACTTTGCATTCCAGGATGTCTGGCTCTAGGTGCTTGATCACACCATTGTGGTTATCTGGGTCATGAAGATCTTTTCTGTATAGTTCTTCTGTGTATTCTTGCCACGTCTTAATATCTTCTGCTTCTGTTAGGTCCATGCCGTTTCTGTTCTTTATTGTGCTCATCTCTGCATGGAATGTAGATGCCGTGTAGGGCCACCAAAGACGGACGGGTCATGGCCAAGAGTTCTGACAAAACGTGGTTCACTGGAGAAGGGAATGGCAAACCACTTTAGTATTCTTGCATTGAGAACCCCATGAATAGTATGAAAAGGCAAAAAAAAGTATGAAAAAAGGAGTAAAGAGAAGAAGGCTAGATGGCAACAGTTTCTTCAAATACTTTTAGAATAATTATAAAGAAGGAAAGTGACTAAATGCAGATCTTGGAAAAAAATGGATTTAAAAGCCTTTAAGAATTTAGGTTAAGACAATATTTTCTGTTGTTTGTTCTCGCGATTTACTTGGAAGACCATCTTGCCTCAGTTTTGAGGCAAAGGTTACATTCACACAACTCTCTGAGCTCTAGAATCATTGAAAAGTGAATCATATTCATTAAATGATTTTTAGACAACCCGATCCCTGTGTTTTATGAAAGGCTATAGGAATTAATTCTGCCTCAAGGTTAAGTTGCTCACCATATCAGAGCTATGAGATCCAAAAAATCTAATCTGTTCACCGCTGCCTCAGATCCTAGATTGGCTTTAGCCCTCTTGAAAAGGAAAATAATTATAACCCACTGTAGGAAAGAGATTCACACTGAAAATCTGTAATCGTAGGTTAATATGCTTCAACTAATAAACTCACTTTTCCTTTCAGGTAGTGTGTGTAATCACTAACAATTGTCTTTATGCCAACAGAAAGGGAAGAAAATAATAAAATAGTCTCTCAAAACTTGAAAGGTATTAAAGTACAGAGTCTTCCTGACTTGGAAAATTTCCAAACCCTGTATCTTCTTAATTTATTCAGAAAAACACTTGGGGTCTTCCTATAATTAAGCTTGCTTTACCCCTTGCTTGGAAATACCACATGAAGGAGTACTTCAAAGTGATAGATCAGGACCTCAGTTGAAAGTACTATACCAGTAAACTAACATTTGAAATCCAAGAAAGAGTCAAGAATTCTGATTCGGTGTTTCCGTATTCATCAGGAACTGAATATGAATATATGACTGAATTTAATTAACAGTATATTCATTTGGGACTTGCAAGTCAAGAAAAAGACATGTTTATATGTTTTGCCAAGTGAATACTCTGATGCTTCAAAATGTAGGTCGAAATAGTTCTCCAAGTTTGATATTTTGATAGCAGTATGATTTTAAAAAGATAATCTTCTTTTTAAAGGTCAGGAAAAGAACAGAGACTGAGGTATGCACAGGCGAGGTGGGGAGGCGGCGTGGAGGGAGCAGCAGAAACAATTAGGAGAGCAGGACGCAGCTCTAGAAACGGTACCTGTCCCAGAGTGGGTCGGCACGCCGCTGTCGCCTCTCACAGAGCTCCTGGAAAGCTCATCTACAAATTCCGAGGTGGGCCAACAGTGGCAAGACTCCTGAGGAAGGAGCCAGAACAGAGAGGATTCTGCTCTCGGTTTGGAGCGAGAGGACGGTCCTGATGGGGAACAAGGTGTCTCCTTCCAGGGCTGTAAGCCTCTGCACTCGCTCCCCTGGGTCCCTAGTCAGTCAGCCCCAGCCTTGGGCACATAGACTTGGGGTCGGGCCGGCCGCTCTTAGACCTGCGTTGCCGCGTGGTCCACCCAGGACCCAGGAAGCGAGTTTCCTGGGTCTGGGGTGGGGGGCGTCGCAGGCTCCTGCCCGCCACGCGCGTTGCCTCCACCGCAAACTCCGTCTGACTCAGCCTGTTTCACTTCTGACCTGCTGCCCTCCAGGCCCGGCTGCGGCCGTCGAGGGTGGGCGGTGTCGAGGGTGGGGGTGATGGTGGACTGCTCCCGGGCAGCTGGGAGCGCCGGGACCCCGAGACCGGACAGTTACCGCGCTCGTCCGAGTTGGGGGGGGGGGGCAGGTCACGCCTCCCGCCCTGCGCCGCGCGCCTGACCTAAGCGTGGGAACCGGCGGCCCGGGTGTCTCTGGGGCACACGCCCGGGCGCACGCCGCTAGCCCCGGGGGCTTCCATCCCTATCCGCCTCGTGCCGGCGGCCAATCTCCCCGAGAGCGCACGCCTCCGCTGGCTGACCAGTCCCCGTTTGCAGTTCAAAATTCCCGCCGCTCCACTTGCACGACACCCTCTCCCTCGTTTGTTTTCTGTTTTGTTTTTTAAACTTTCACTCCGTTAAGTTATATTAATCCTAACCTCTTATCGCGGATGTCCCTTCCAGAGGAATGTAACGAGAATCCCCGGCGCCAGCGCCGCGATCCCCAGCGCCTGCCCGCCCCTCGCCCACGGGAAACGCCCCGGGGCGGGGCGGGAGGATCCGGGTCGGCGGCTGGTGGGGCCCGGCGGAGCTGCCTCCCGCGCGGGGGAGCCCCGGGGCTCGCCTCAGCCCTGCAGCGTCTGCCCTCGGGGCAGCTGCCAGGCGAGTCCGCGGAGCGGCGGCCGGCGGGCGATGGAGACTGGGAGCCACCGGGCGAGAGGAGGCGGGGTGGGGGAGGCGGGGAAAGCGCGGGGGCGGAGGCTGGCAGGGGGCGCTGGAGGCAGGAGCCGCCCGTGCACTCCTCGCGCCCGAGGGTGCAGGAGGCTCTGAAACCTCGGCCGCGCGGCGAGCCTCCGGGGCTCGGGCGGCGGCGGCGGGGAGGTGGAGGGGGGGCGCTGCCGCCGCCGGGGGGCGTCGCCGGCCTCGGCCCCTTTGTTCTCGCGCGCTCCCCCTGGCCGCCCACTCCCCTGCTGTCGCGCGGCGACGGCTCCTCCCGCCGAGGCAGTCGGGCTCGGCGCCGGGGGCGGGAGGGGGCGGGGGGAGCGCGCCCGCCGCCGGGAGTGGGGGGCGATGGCGAAGCTCCGGGTGGCTTACGAGTACACGGAAGCCGAGGACAAGAGCATCCGGCTCGGCTTGTTTCTCATCATCTCCGGCGTCGTGTCGCTCTTTATCTTCGGCTTCTGCTGGCTCAGTCCCGCGCTGCAGGATCTGCAAGCCACGGCGGCCAATTGCACGGTGCTGTCGGTGCAGCAGATCGGCGAGGTGTTCGAGTGCACCTTCACCTGTGGCGCCGACTGCAGGGGCACCTCGCAGTACCCCTGCGTCCAGGTCTACGTGAACAACTCCGAGTCCAACTCCAGGGCGCTGCTGCACAGCGACGAGCACCAGCTCCTGACCAACCCCAAGGTAAGGACGCCCCGGGAGGATTGCCTCGCTCCTACGGAGATGCTGAGGTTTGGGGGAGCATCAGTGTTAAACCCTGCGCGGGGTGGCTCGGAGTATGCAAACGTTACCAGGAGGCGACAAGGCGTCGCGGATTATGCTTAAACCGGGAGTAAGTACATCGGGGAGCCCGGGGCGCCCCCCGGTCCTCAGGAGGGTTTGTGTGCGGCGACCGGTGGTACCCGGAGGCTTTCCTTACACACCTGTCTTGCCTGGTCTCAGATTTTGAGGCCTTGGCCCAGCTTCGGTTCGGGCCCTACCGGACGGGCTTTGCAGAAATGCGAAGAGCCGAAAGTTAACTTTTCCTCGGATTAAATCCAGTGCGTAGCGGGGATACCACCAACTCCGGCGTATGGTCAAGGTCCGAAGTCCCACTGGCTGCGTCCAGAACTCTCCTTGGGAGGCTGCAGGGGGTCCTTTAGCCGTTTGAGAGGTATTAGCGGTTTCCTTACCTTTTCACTCTAGACACATGTTTTTAACTTGGGGTACAAAGATGAGCTTTCGTGGGTCGACAAACGATGTGGAATCAAAATTCGAAATTCTGTGGAGATCCATCTTGGGCGGGTACGGTGGACTCCTGGTTGTCACGAAATAGATTCTCAGAAGGGTCTAGAGGAAGCCTAGATTCTCCGTGTGTCTAAGAACAATTGGGAGCCATCTGGGGAACGGTAAAACTTTCTGAAAATAGAAAAGCCTCCGTGAAATGTACCGAATATGCCTGCCTTGGCAATTTTTTTCCGTTCTTGCAAGCAAAAAAGAAAAAAAAAAAAAAACCTGGTTAGGACTCGAGGGATGGAAAGCAGAGAAAGGGAGACTCAGAAGACCGTTCCCAGTGGAGAAAAAGCTTATAAAAAGCAGTGTCCTCAGTCTGTGAACTAGTTGAGCTTTGTAGTACACCTGCTTTTGCAAGAAGGCTTTTCTTTCTTTTGTTTTTTCTTCTCTTGGCCTTTTTTACTCTTCTGATTACTTAACTATCAAAGAAAAGGTATGTATTCTTCTTTAAAGTTACTGACACCCTCCCTGTTTGTTAGAGCAGTGCTTGAAGATCAAGAAAACTGTCCAAAAGAGAATAAGTCTTGTGTACACAGGAAAACTTTCCTTACATGTGACAGGATACAATTATAACAATCCAAAAGAAGAATTCTCTATCAATATTTTTAAAGTATTTAAAAATAAGCTTATCATTTCTCTGCAGCAAAACTCCTGTTTTTGTCTCCTAAATAGTTAATTCTTGAATTTGGGAAATTTTTAAAAGAGAATTCCTTTTTTTAAAAAAAGAATGACCTCTCTTAAAGATGCTCTTGATGACAAAGGAAGAGTATCTTTAAAATGAAGATAATAGATGAGTAGTAAGTATAGAAATAAGAATTTAGAGTATAAACTTCAAAGTCTCGAAGAAGCAATCAGGTCTCAAGACAGATGTTGGAAGTTAGGCAGCTCAATGCTCAGGAATTTCAAAACAAATTGCAAGGCTTTAGGAACATCACTTTTTTTTTTTCAAGATTAAGCCATTAATATAAAAGAAAGGTGTGGTGCGGTAGTAGTAATTTAGAAATTATATGGTAGTTTTATCATTTAGAAGGTGTTATAATTGGTGAAACATTGCGATTAGTTTAAGATTGTGGTTCAGGCACTAATAAATTACATATACATATTCCAGTAAGTGCCTAATACCTAATCAAGACATTGAGAAGACAGAATTTACTACACAAAGACTGCTTCACAGTTTCCAGGTAATTTTGTAGAATCTAGCAGAAAAAGTAAATTGGGATCATTAGGACATAGATTTCTAAATCACTTGGAAAGAGTGGTAATGGCTTTATGCAATCCTAAGATTTGATCTCTTTTTATTGCAAATAAACAGTTTCCTTCCAGTGCCAGTTTGGATCCTGGCAACAATTGCTTTGAAGAAATATCTGAACAAAATAAGATTTTTTAAAGTAAAGCATTTAAGAAATGACAGAACTGGAGAAAGATACATTAATGTTACAGAAAATGATGAACAGCATCCCATTCGATTTAGTCAAGGATTCCTCAGCCAAAGCAGTGTATATCTCTTTATCCAAATTATGATTGCATTGGACCATTTAAAGAACATTAGACGTGTTCTTTTGCAGTCACCTTTCCACTTTTGAGCAATGAAATGCTCAGTTTGGAAATTCTTGTAAGCAATTAGTGATGGAAAAATTCAGTGTAACCAAAATATTGTGCCAGAGCCCATCACATAAGCAGAATGTTTCCACAGTGCCCTTGCAGTTACGCAGTACCCACCACCAAGTGCTGTTTCATCTTGGCTGCCCAGAACTTACCTCTTTGTTGAAGGCCTGGGTTCCGCACCCATTCTCTTTGCAGAATGTCTAGATTCCCTACAGTGTATTGGATCCTGATCACCTTCAACCGTCTCTGCTTTATGACCCACTGCCGCAAGAAGCCATTTGGAGATCTCTTCTTAGAAAAGAGAACAAGGGCTTTCTCCTCTCCCGTGAGTTTACTACATTAGTTATAGTAAAAAGCAGGGAAGGGGAAAGAATAATGCAAATATATAACTTCTTATGCTGCAGACTACTAAAGAGATAGTGTGAATAAATTTGACCTTTGACTAATAATTTCTTTAAAATATCTTTAAGTCCTATTCAACTTATGTTTTGAAATGTATCCTTGTATCCAAAGCAGAAACTGTATCCAGCCATGTAATGTAGTTCAGTTCAGTTCAGTCACTCAGTCATGTACTACTCTTTGCGACCCCATGGACCACAGCACGCCAGGGTTTCCTGTCTACCACCAATTCCCAGAGCTTACTCAAACTCATATCCATCGCATCCGTGATCCATCCAACCATCTCATCCTCTGCCGTACCCGTCTCCTCCTGCCTTCAATCTTTCCCAGCATCAAGGTCTTTTCCAGTGAGTCAGTTCTTCACATCAGGTGGCCAAACTTTTGGAGTTTCAGTTTCAGCATCAGTCCTTACAGTGAACACCCAGGACTGATTTCCTTTAGGATGGACTGGTTGAATCTCCTTGCAGTCCAAGGGACTCTCAAGAGTCTTCTCCAATACCACAGTTAAAAAGCATCAATTCTTTGGTGCTTAGCTTTCTTTATAGTCCAACTCTCACATCAAAATATGACTACTAGAAAAACCATAGCTTTGACTAGATGGACCTTTGTTGGCAAAGTAATGTCTCTGCTTTTTAATATGCTGTCTAGGTTGGTCATAACTTTTCTTCCAAGGAGCAAGTGTCTTTTATAATTTCATAGCTGCAGTCACCATCTGCAATGATTTTGGAGCCCAATAAAATAAAGTCTGTAACTGTTTCTGTTGTTTCCCCATCTATTTGCCATGAAGTAATGGGACCAGATGCCATGATCTTAGTTTTCTGAATGTTGAATTTTAAGCCAACTTTTTCACTCTCCTCTTTCACTTTCATCAAGAGGCTGTTTAGTTCTTCTTTGCTTTCTGCCATAAGGGTAGTGTCATTTCATATGTGATGTTATAGATAATTCTCCCTGAAATCTTGATTCCAGCTTGTGCTTCATCCAGCCCAGCACTTCACATGATGTACTCTGCATATGAGTTAAATAAGCAGGGTGATAATATACAGCCTTGATGTAACTCCTTTCCTGATTGGAAGCAATCTGTTGTTCCATGTCCAGTTCTAACTGTTGCTTCTTGACCTGCATACAGATTTCTCAGGAGGCAGGTCAGGTGGTCTAATATTCCCATCTCTTTAAGAATTTTCCACAGTTTGTTGTGATCCACACAGTCAAAAGCTTTAGCATAGTCAATAAAGTAGATGTCTTTCTAGAACTCTCTTGCTTTTTCGATGATCCAACAGATGTAGGCAGTTTGATCTCTGGTTCCTTCAAGTAGTGTAGTACTTTATGTAATGTAGTACTCAAGTCAGTTATCCTAGTTATCAAGTCAAGTCCTAATTATCCACAGGGCAGTGATCTGCTCTTTGAGTTGACCATTGCAAAAAAAATCTAAATTTGGGGTCAGCTTCCTCTGACTATGGTTCTTATCACTGGATTATCTCTTTGTGACTAGCTGTTGTGTATGCTAAGGGTTTTGGTTCTCAACCATGACAATCCATTAGAATCACTGGGGGAACTTTATTTATTTTTTGTTTTTGTTTTTTGTTTTTTGAAGAATGCCTCTGGTAAGTTTATTAGTACACTGAACATGGTTGAGGGAAAAAAATTCTCTGATTCTTGAGAATATATCAATTTTTTCTTGTTGCTCAGTCACTAAGTCATGTCTGACTGTTTGCAACCTGATGGACTGCAACATACCAGGCTTCCCTGTCCTTCACTATCTCCTGAAGTTTGCTTGAATTCATGTTTATTGAGTCAGGGTGGGGGAACTTTAAAAAGAAGTTCAGATGCCTGAGTCCAGCCTTTAGAGATTCACACATGGTCTTGTGTGGGTCCTGGGCATTGGTAATTTTTAAAAAGTTCTACAAGTAATTCTAGTCTGTAGATGGAGTGAAAATAAACACTGGCTTAGAAAATGTCTTCATCTGTTGTTCAAGAAAAATAAAATAAGAACTGAAAGGATTCATCATGATTAATATTTGTGTGTTTAGGTTAAAAGATGGTACTGATGCTACTGAATGTAGAGAGTTGGTATGAAAGGAAGGACTCAAATTCTGAAGGAAAAGAAGAGAATCCTTTAAAATTAGTTTAATGTAAATGAAATGAACTTACGCAGTTCCAAACATTCACCTTTGTCTCATTGTAGACATTGGATGGCCAAGAAAAGATGAATGATTAAAACTGGCCTCTTGAGAGACCAGAGAAAGTAGGTGATTAGAGGCTGTATGTTTTATTTTTGAGTTTTCTTTCTCTGATAAGAAAAACCTAAAAAGAGAGGACAAATGTCTATTTCTAAGAAATCAGTACTACTAAAAACCTAAGAGAAATGCATTGAAGAGAAGAAAAACTAGACCAGAACTGGAAGAGGCTTC